ACCGGCTAATTTTCTACGAAGTTTTGTCCTATAATAGAAACAAATAGAAATATGGATTGATTGATATAAATTTAAATAATTACAATTGACCATCATGTTTTGAATGCATATGCCTATATCGATGACCATCATGTCGTCCTTCATCATCAAATATATTTCTCCAATCGATCAACTCACTTGTATCATCATAACCTATTGCAGCAAGTTGTTTATCAATATCTGGTGGTGTATAATAAAGTTTAAGTTGTACAGTTGCTGGTAGTAAGGAATTATTTGGATCAGATAGATTTTCTTCAGGTAAATCAATATATTTTGAATCGATTAAAGATTCAAGCATTAATTCAAAAATTGCAATTAATTTTTTTCGTTTTTTATTCATATTTATCGTATAAAATTCGATGCGTAATTTATCATCGGGTATTAACATAGTTGCTAAATTGAAATTAAATTTCTTTGGTTTGTTTCCACGTGCAATAAAATTTGCTGTACCAGCACGTATGCGTACATTATTTGACCAAAGATTAACACCTTTAATAGAAAATTATAATTCAACTGTAATCATTCAAAATTTATATCGAACACAAAAAAAAATTATTATTTATATTGAGATATCATATTTTTGTTTTGTATGATAATTATGTTTAACTTCTATTGATTTGCTTTTTAGAGAATTTATTTTCATTCATTCTCATTTTTTATATTTAGTATATTTAAAAGTATTTAAATTTAATTTAAGGAAATCAATAAAAATTTGCTTTGTAAGTATGAAATATCCACGAGAGATTTCAACATGGTTGCTTACAAATAAACAATGCTATAAATGAGCAATATGATAGATTAAGCAATTATACATCAATTATTCGTCCTTTTCGTACAAAACATTCGAAATATATTTCGAGGCGAACAAAGTAAATAGGAATCGATAATGAATAGATCAATACATATTAAATCAAGGACAAAAAGAAAAAAGCTTATGCGACATTTCATACACTATTTAAAAATCAGCATTTTCATGTCGCCCGTTTGTACTGTGGTACTCATCAGAATCGACAGTAGTACTTACAATTTTTAGCTCCAGCTGTAAACGATTTTAGAAAGCGTTTTCTATCCAAATTCGAATTATTAATTATAAAGAACTCAAATTAATCGAGAATAAAACAGTGTCAGAATATATTTTACTAATAAAAATTTATCTCATAACTAGTACCACTGGTATATCGCGCACATTAGGTATACCAACGGTAGTTTCTCGGTATTTATTGCATAGGCTGTTATTAATTTGACAATGGATTCTTAAGTTCATTAAAAAATGATGTGAAAAGAAAGATAAACTAGAAAATGAATAATTTGGAAATAAAAAAAAAAGATTATGTTTGATGTTACATAATCAAGGTAGTGAATGGATATGGAAGCTGCAAGGTCAATTTTTTTAGGAGAAGCAATTACTACATGTTCTAGTACTGTCACGCCGCTCATATAAATAAATCATTTTTTTTCAAGTAAAAGTAAAATAGTGCATTGTTAGTTTTCATTTGTTATTCATTTTATATTGATTTATTATCTTCTCTTTTACTGTATTCATATGTTATCTAATAGATACCTCGAAATATGACTTTAGCACTCAATAACGTCACATCTTCATCATTAATAAATTGTGTTGTAGGCATATCAGATGTTGATTGATCATTATTTTTACCAATAATTTCCAATTTAGAATTGGATATATCAATATTAGAAACTTTAAATAAAAATAATATCAACGCCATTCTATTCTATGTGTAGATATGTATTAAATATAAGATGTTGGTTAATGTCACTTGGAGGTTTATATTAATAGTAATACTTCAATGAATAATACAATGTATAAAACTAATAATCAGAATACTATATGAAGAAAATGATGCATGCACAAGTGGTATATATATACTGAAAAAAAAATGTATAATGAGTCTTACGAACAGTATCAAAGAGGCGATAGGCAAATATAAGATTTTTCGTTCTGTCTGCTCTACTGGTTTTCTTTTCTTTTTTTTCCTTTTTTGCTTCCATTAACTTATGACATTTTTTTGCATTTATTCAAGCTCCTAAGCGAAATAAAGAAAATAACTTGTATATCAATTTGTTCTATTTTGATAAGAAATATAACTGTCAGAAGTGTTTATAGTCAAGTGGTTTGTTGTTCATCAAAGAAAAAAAATTTTACTATGTGATCGATAATAAGTATACGAAATTACTATGAAATTATTCAGGACAAATATTGATTTGAAAAAATATTTAAAATATAAATATCAATCAAAATATTAAAAATTAATATTTGA